AGATCATATCCCCTCTTCTGACCTACAGGCATACATACAGGCAGAATACTCTATACATAATAAATAGAACACTGACTGCTCTTCTAGAGGACCAGGGTTTAGTTCCCAGCACCCACACGGCAGTTCCAGGTGACCCAACACCTATGGGAAAACACCAATGCACATAAAATAAAAATAAATAAAAAACCCCTGTATGTGGTAGAGTACATTCACAATCCCGGTGCTGCTGCGTAGGCAGGCACAGAAGGCACCCTGGGCTAGCCAGGCTGGCCTAGTGAGTGAGCCGGGGGAGTCCAGTGAAGACATGCACACATGCACACCTGCACACACACATGCAACAACCCACAGAGTTGAGAATGTACACACACAGTAAATAGAAAGTTAGGAGATTCACATGTCCCCTCTGTCAGGCTCTGTGAGCACTGGCTAAGGAAGACTCTTCCATGCAGTTGCCTGAGAGCTGAGAACAGCAAGTGCTCCAGAAATACAGCACTGATGAGTCATCGCCTATGCTGGGGCAGGGGTTGGGGGACTTCGCTTGTGATGAAACTGCTTTGTTACCCCTATAAACTAGATAGATTTGGGTGGGATCTTATCTTTGATCTGGCATCAGTGCAAACATCGTTTGTTCATGTCTCCCCAGGCACAAGAATCACCATGGTTTTTTTTTCCTTTTTTGAGACAGGGTTTCTCCGTAGCTTTTTGGTGCCTGTCCTGGAACTAGCTCTGTAGACCAGGCTGGCTTCGAACTCACAGAGATCCGCCTGCCTCTGCTTCCTGAGTGCTGGGATTAAAGGTGTGCGCCGCCACCGCCCGGCCATGTTTTAAAAGAATCTTAAGTAGCTCCTGTGCCTGTATGCTAACATGCTGAAATCTTCCTGGTCCTGTTAAGGGGTCATACAATAGATGCAATTTTCTGAGACAGGATCTTGATATGCAGCTGTGATGTAGGATCAAGATATGTAGATGTAATTAATACGGGATTTTGATATGTAGCTTGTCAGTTTGACTAGATTTGTTATCACCTAAGAGACTTTTGAGGATGGCTGCGGTACAGTTTCCAGTCTAAGTTTGGTCTAACTGAATGTGGGAGGTGCTATCCCATAAACTACAGTCTCAGACTGAATTCAAGGAGAGGAAAGTGCTTTCTTTCTGTCACACTGATGAGAGAGCAGCTAATACTGTTTAGCCCAGGTTGGCCTTACTGCACTTGTTTCAGCCTCTCAAGAGTAAGGATTATAGGTATGAGCCACGAAGACTCTCTATTTTCCCTTTTTTAAAAAAGATTTATTATATATACTGTATTCTGCACCAGATCTCATTACAGATGGTTGTGAGCCACACCATGTGGTTGCTGGGAATTGAACTCTGGACCTTTGGAAGAACAGGCAGTGCTCCTAACCATCTCTCCAGCCCCCCTTTTGTTTTTTGAAAGCTTAGATTGGCCTTGACCTCACTATGTAGCTAACCAAGGCCAGTCTTCAACTCCTGATTCTCCTGTGTCCACTCCCAAGTACTGGGATTATAGGTAGGTGGAACCATGCTATTTTTTGCAGTGCTATGGATTTTACCTGGGCTTTCATGTAAGCTAGAGAAGTATTCTACCAACTGAGATATATACCCCACAACCTCCTTTCCCCAGTCTTGCTACATAGTCCTGACTGGCCAAATTCTGCCCCTTCTGTGTCAGCCTCCTAAGTGCTAGAATATACATACATAGGAGTGCATTACCATGCCCAGCCAGGGCCACTCCCCTTTTCATGTGTAGACAGTATTATATGGTGGCTATATCATAAAGAGGCCCGAAATCAAAGCTAGTAATCACTCTGGATCCCTCTTCCACTTTATTCGTTGAGGCAGTCTCTCAAACCCAGAGCTCTTGATATGGCTAGTTATCTATGAAGTTATCTTATGAAGGTGGAATTACAGGTGGACCACCACACCAATTTTTGTAGGCTGCGGTGATCTAAACTCTTGTTTACACACCTGCACAGCTAATGCTTTAACTGACTTCCCTGCCTCAGGATTGTCTTTTTTTCCTTCTAAAGATTTGTCTTAGTATTTTGCCTGCAAGCCTCCATGTCCACCCTGAGGTCAGAGGAGGACATTCAGTAGGGTGGTGGTGGGGCATGCCATTAATCCCAGCACTCAGAAGGCAAAGATGAGTGAATCTCTGAGTTTGAAGTCAGCCTGGTATACAAAGTTCAAGAGCCCCAATCAGACGTGGCTCCTGTAGATCATGGTAGCTCTGTGCCCCTGCACCATTCAAATCTTTATCAGGCATTCTAAAGTATCCTTTGTAGTAACCTTTAAAATAAACATGCAAAATATCCCAGAATCATCTGAAAGCCAAAAAGGAGTTTAAGAACCTTGAATTATATGGCCTACTGTTTAGAAACATAGTTAAAAACTTGGGGTGTATACCCTGCATTTATGCAAGATGGGACAAATTCAGCCTGTGGGATGTGACAATCTCCAGGCAGCGTCAGAGGTCAGCTCGCATACACTGTAGATCTGCTTGGTGCGCGAGGAGGCAAGTTCAGATATCTGGTCAGTGTCTGCCAACTCACAGTAAAGGAAAAATTGAGTTTACATTCAAATTTGTAAACTTTCTGGCATGGGTCTCTTGCTGGGGATGGTGAGTGGTGTGTGCCTGCGATCCCACCGCATGGGAGGCTGAGGCAGTATTGGGAATTTAAGATCCACATGAGCTACACAGTGTGATCCTCTTACCTGACTCACTCTCCACAAGACCAGAGTAGAAGCCAACATGTTGGCCAGAAACTCAGGTTCACATATATGTATTTGCATAGCACAGAAGGTGCACTGAATACCACTTTTGTAATTTGAGTTCATTTTGAACAAATGACTTACCATTAGGAAATGTCTTCTTCACTACAGGTTTGCACTAAGAAGCATGACATCAAGCATCCATTCAGTTCAAATAATCAAAATCAGATTTATAAAAACAGAACTGGATAAAATGTACAAGTGCACTTTTTTTCTAATAAATCACACTTAAGTTTTAAAAAAAACCCAACAAAACTAAGAATCACCTTTAACATCTAAGTAGTTAAATATGTTAGTAGGAAAAGAACCAATTCTTTACATTCTTGGGTTGTTTTGTGGTTTATTTCCTAATTGCTGTAGTTTGCATCTGACATCTTTACATTGTTCCACATGATGGGAATCTCTAGCAAAAGGACTCATTAAAGCATAAAAATGGCGTTACCACAGCCAGCATTATTATTAACTACAAACTTTCTCTGAATATAGAGCGGCTGGAATTCCATAAAATAGCTGCAAGCAACTTGGGAGACTCCCACCTGTTGAATTAAATAACAATAGTGTGGTAGTAACTGTAGTGTCTGCACAATACAAATATATATTCTACACACTCCTTCTATCATAGTAATTAACAACTGCAAGCAAGACACAGTGAACACAGGAGACATGTATCTTCTGTCTTATGTGGTCCTGGGTTTCCATGTGCAAAGCAGACACCAATAGTGTCACACATACAAACATGTTATTAACCCTCCAATAATTCTACAGAAGGTGTTATATTCCGCCCTATATCCCAGGTCAGGCTTATGAAGCTGAGACAAGTTGGAAAGGTAGTGGTGGATACTTAATAGAGCACTGACTGGGGTATAGGGTACAGGACAACTAGCCCCAGGGCCCACGTTCTTCCTTCTCTATTTCTAACACACTGTCTCTCAAGAAACTGGTAGAGGTGTTCAGTACAACCTCTCAACTGCTCATTCTAGTGTTTACTTACACTTGTAATACAACTTAATTCAGATTTTATTCTTTTCTGAACAAGGATGGAAAATGATGGTTTAAGGAAAACCGCGCACATAAAGAGGTACTGTGCAAAAGTCTGTGGGGGTTCTATCACTATATAAATGAAACTTTTATCCTTACTAAGCAGGATAAATATCATACACTGATACAAATCTTTTTAATCTTTATGAAAGGCAGGGTAACATACAGAACTGTCTTCATTCTGATCTTTACCTGTAAGCCACAGTTTATAGTGGACATCATTAAATCTGTACAGAATACAAATTGAGTAGAAATCTATTTAAAACATGCTTTAACATATTTGATTACTCAGTTACTCTGCAGCCAACACTACTTCTACTTATTGAAGATGTTGTTCAACAGTTATATAAAGTTTACTAAGACAATTGAGATTAAGTAACATTACAAGTCACGAAATTTTTAAGTGACAACTTATAGCTATGATTCCATACATGGGATGAGTAAACCAATGGCTATTTTCCAAATAAAATATAAAATTCAGGTCATGAATACTTTGTAGTCTCCTAAAAGTTCCCTTAAAAGTTAAGATGGTAAGAAAGATTCAACAGACAAGGCAAACAACTAAATCTCAGCAAGTCTTTTTACAGGGATGCTTGGTGTGGTTACTCAGGCACTGTAGCAACACACCATGTTCATGCTCTATCTGGAAAAAAAATTACAGGAAAACGACAACCCCATCAACTGAGTTCTGGGTTCATTCATGGGGTGATCAGGATCAGAACAAAAGCCTGGTGTGAGATTATCAAATTAATTAACCTGTTACTTCATCTTAGCAGGAAGACATACTATTTAGTTGGGTGTGCTTGTACACACCTGTCACCCCACCATTTGGGAGGTAAAGGTAGAGGGATCAGAAGTTCGAGGTCAGCATCAGCTGTTGGTTTTTCAAGGCTAGCGTGGGCTATATGAGATCCTGTCTCAAAGAACCAAAAACAGTTGGGTGGTGTCAGCGCATGCCTTTCATCCCAGCACTCAGGAGGCAGAGGTAGGTGATCTCTGTGAGTTTGAGGCCAGCCTGGTTTACAGAGTGAGTTCCAGGACAGGCTCCAAAGCTACAGAGAAACCCTGTTTTGAAAAACTAAAACCAAAAAACCAAAAAAACCACCACCACCACCACCAACAACAACAACAACAAAAAACCCTCCCCTACACAAAACAAAATAGCATTATTCTTAGATTTTAAACATTTTATTTTTCTTTATGGGCACTGCTTATAATGGAGTTGTACTATAGAAGTCAAAGCAAAAATAAAAAACAAAATTTCCTTGAAGACCATTTCCTTTTCCTTATTTGAAATAAAGTTGAATTAGTTAAACGTATTAATTTCCATACCAAATACACATCAAAGAACTCTTCCAGGTAGCATTTGCATATTAGTGACAACTGTATTCAACTACTTTAAACCAGTATGACTCCAGATCATCCGGGACACAAGAACACTCATTAGTTAATGTTGCTACTATTTAGGCAAGAAAATAGATTAAAACCACCAGAAGGTACAGGAAACGGGGTCATATGTAATTTCTAAAAACATTTCAAATCCTGTTTGTTACAGGAAGAAAATCAACTTTTGATTTGAGCTGTATCACCTATGTAGACTTAAAACACTGCCCATAAAATGCTTAACTATATACTCTGCAAATTTAGTAAAAATGGTTTTCATTGTTGGTTTTGAGACAGAGTCTTATGTAGCCCTGGCCAATATTAACAAATTCTCCTGTGCTGGGATCACAGGTGTATGCTACATCCAGCTGGTGAAACACTTTTAAGGTCCAGAGGTCTAATTACTGATGAAGACGATGATTAGCAAGTATCTCAAGGTTAGTTTCAGCCCTTGTTCTCAGATATACTCTGCCTAGATAGATATGCACTAAGAAACTCCTCAGATTAAGAAATACAGACCACATCACTTCATCTTTCCTACTGTTCCATAAATTTTGAAACTGAGTAAGAAAACCTGAGATGAAGTCATAGTTAAGAAAGGGATCACAAGCCGGGCGGTGGTGGCGCACACCTTTAATCCCAGCACTTGGGAGGCAGAGGCAGGCGGATCTCTGTGAGTTTGAGACCAGCCTGGTCTACAAGAGCTAGTTCCTGGACAGGCTCCAAAACCACACAGAAACCCTGTCTCGAAAAAAAAAAAAAAAAAAAACCCAAAAAAGAAAGGGATCACAGAAAAGATCTTGGTTTTTGAAACCATGTAATATGCATTCCTTTGTGTATTACTTTTCATTAATGAAATTTTCTGGATGCTACTAGAATACAAGGTCCACAAACTGCACGATGGATCTTAGTTTATAAACTTGCAAGCTTTCAGTGCGTACAGTGAGTTCTGACTAGCCCATCTAACTGCAATAATAACTCCTAAATAAGAGCAAACCTAAATTCCCAGTAGAAAGAAAATGGGAACCCCCTGGACTGTCTACATAATAAACTTCTCCCTAATGTAAAGTCAAAGTATAATATCCTCTGCAGCATGCTATTTTCTCAGCTACAGCTCTTTGATTCAGAAATAAGAAAACATCTTTTCACTACGTTTATTTTTGAACTGATTTTCCTGCCTAGACCTCACAAGTGCAGGGTTATAGGTCATGCCATTATATCAGGTTTAAGTTTGCTTCCCTCATTTTCCCCTCAATTTAGGGAAACCTGAAAAAAACATTAATTTTTACTTTGTTCCACAATATTCATATTCTTATGAGCTGAAAATTTCACTTGCCTATTTTATGTATTTATAAAGCCCTCAGAAATGTAGCTTGGGCGAGTAAGACTCCTGAAAAAGGAACATTCCCACACGATATTTTGGTAAAAATATTCTATGCACATGAGTAAAACAATCTTTTCCTCGTTTGGGAATTTCCTAATCACACTAGTTGAGAAAAGAAACCATCTTAATTAATTAAAAGTTATTACCAATGTTAAGACAACTGAGCACCACCTAGTGTTCAATTTCTGCAACTACCGACCTTAATTTAAAATATTAAAAACCAGTTTCTAAAAACATTTTGGAAATGCCTTTCCTCCCCCAGTAAGTTGATGACTGCAAAATAAATCCTAAGAACGTACATGTTATCAAAACTAGTATAAAAATAGCCACATACATACTTTTAAATATGAAAAGCAAACCTATCACTTTTGCCTTTAAATAGATTTCTGCCTGGTGTGGTAAATACATTTAATCTCAGCACCCAGGAGGCTGAGAAAGGAGGATCATAGTGAGTATGGGTTCACTAGGACTATAGTGAATCCCAAGCTAGCCTCAGATACAAAGTTGGATTCTGTCTCAAAATATAACACAATAAAACATAAAACAGATTTCTGCCTCCATTTGTATCAAAATTTCTGGGCAACTGGAATATACACAAAGACTGTACTTTGTACAGTCAACAGCTATGCAAAAGGGAGGGCTTAATCATAATTTATGCATACAAGGCAAATTGTTTATTCAAAACATCCATTTACTTACTGGAAGGGGTCAAAGTAGGAAAGGCAGTAATGTATATTTTTTCTTACATGATCTTTTTTGAGTTCAATTACATCAAATGATCAAAGTGGGCTTAACATATCACTTAAGATATTTTCAGCTTTGAAAAAAGCGACCTTAGTATTGAATTGAGTCTGTCTCAACAAATTACAATCAATCAGGGAAAACTTTTCCTTGAAGTCTATGACCAGATTCCAAACTTGCAGGGCAATCTTCAGAAGGACTGGAATGTAAAATGTTGAGTTCATTTTAGATCTGAAAGAGAAAAGGACATTAAGTCAAAGGGAAAAAGCAATTCTAAAAGGATCCTTTACATGTACTACTTTGGGTGCTGTGTGTGTTAGGTGGCTTGGAGTACGAGGACCTCAGGTGTTGGCCCTCACTTTTAGCATTGTTCACTGTTCTGTATGTCAGGCTAGCTGGCCTAAGAGCTTCCAAAAATTCCTCTGCCTCCTCCTCCAATCTTGCCATAAAAACCCTAGGTTTAGAGAAGGTACTATAGCCAGCAGTATGTGGACTCTATAGCAGATTCTTGAGGGCCTGGCAAGCACTTTACCCTGAGCCAATCCAGGAGAAAAGTACTCTTAAATTCTAATACTCTGTGTACAAGGGAAATGTTCTCACAGGCCATATAGGAAATCCACCCAGTCAAGAGAAAATTCCCCAAATAAGCTTTTCTGTATTGCAGCTCACTTTGAGAAATTCTGATTTTCATAATATTTTACGTGATACATGCTATTTTTCTAAAGAATATGTATATTAGTCAGGTGAGGTGGTACAGTTTTAATCCCAGCGCTTGGGAGGCTGAGGCAGGTAGGCAGGTAGGTAGTTAGGTAGTATAGAGTTCGAGGTCAGTATATTTGTGTGTGCAGGTACCTACCAAGGCCAGAAGATGGTACTGGATTCCCTAGAGCTGGAGTTATAGGCAGTGTGAGAATCAAACTGAGGACCTCTGTAACAGTAGTAAGTGCTCTTAACCACCCACCCAGCCATCTCTCTAGTCTACGGGACTATTCTTTATTGTCCTTCCTTCCTTTTAGTTTTTTTTTTTTTTGGGGGGGGGGGGAAGGAACCTCACTCTATATGGCTGGCTGACCTTGAACTCAAAGAGATTCGCCCACCTCTGCCTCCTGAGTACTGTGTCACCATGTCTGGCCCCCGAGAACATTCATTTTTCTTTTTTTAGAGACAGGGTTTCTTTGTATAGCCCTGGCTATACTGGAACTCACTTTGTAGACCAGACTGGCCTTGAACTAACAGAGAACGAGAATATTCTTAATGAGGTTTGCTGTCTCCTTCCCTCTGCATTGCGTATTTGATAATTTATTTTACATTTTTACTTCTTTAAATAAAAAAGACTAAGTTTTCTTTATTTGTGTGTATGGGTGTACCTGTGTGTGCACTTATGTATGTGGGTGCCAGTGGAGGCCAGAAGTCGTCAAGTTCCCTGGAGCAGGAGTTGCAGGCAGTTGTGAGCTGCCTCCTCATGTGTGTGCTGGGAACCAAAGCAGGGTCCTCTGCATGAGCAACAAGCATCCTTTACCAATGAGCCATTTCTCTAGCCCAGATTTGAGATTTTATACTTTTGGAGTAGCAACAGACATGAAGGAACATGATCTCTTTTGAGAACTAGGTAGGTATGTCTTCAAACCTTTTCTTTCAAGTTGATTACAGGAGTACAGATAGAACACTTATCAACACTTAGAAAACAGCCAGAGAAATGTCCCCCAAGAGAAAGAGCAGAGTTCTCAGGTGATACAACAAACTCTTATTTAAAACAAACAAACAAACAACAACCACTACCATGCCGGGCGGTGGTGGCGCATGCCTTTAATCCCAGCACTCGGGAGGCAGAGACAGTCGGATCTCTCTGAGTTCGAGGCCAGCCTGGTCTACAAGAGCTAGTTCCAGGACAGGAACCAAAAGCTTTGGAGAAACCCTGTCTCGAAAATCAAAAACAAAACAAAACAAAAAACCACCATCACCCCCCAAAAATGGCCTGAGGTTCTCTGGAACCCACATGAACTTACCTCTACATGCATCCCCTAGCATGAGTGTACATGTCCATCATTCATTCATACATACAAAATAAATGTTTCAGAATAATGTTCATAACAATGGAAATTCTGGGGCGGAGATGGCTCATTGGGTATCTACTGCTATTGCAGTCTTGTTACTGGCACCTACATTGGGTGCATCACAACTGTCTTTAATCCCAGCTCCTGATGCCCTCTTTTGGTCTCCATGGGCACCCAACCCACCAAAACTACACTTAAGAAAAAAAAATTAAAAAGGGAAACATAAATTCGGCATCACCTGTGGCTTCCTATTTTTCCCTTTCCTCCTCTCTTTCTGAATTACTAGAGAATCACACAGTAATTATATGCTACATCATAAAAGTGTGTGTGTTGGGGGTAATTAGAGAAATGCTTTTGGCTAGGCTCAAGAAAACTACATTAAAAATGCTCAAGAGTGGTGGTGGTGTCGCACGCCTTTAATCCCAGCACTCCTTCGGAGGCAGAGGCAGGTGGATCTCTGTGAGTTCCAGGACAGCTGGGGCTGTTAAACAGAAAAACCCTGTGTTGGAAAAGAAAAAGTTAAAAAAAATCACTTTCTATTGTTAAAATGTTATTTCCTTTTTGTGCATATCACACGTGTGCCTAATGGCCTCAGAGGCAAGAAGAAGGCATGTAAGTCCCCTGAACTGGAGTCAGAGATGGTTATGAGTTATTATGTTTTTTTTTTTTTTTTTTGGTTTTTCGAGACAGGGTTTCTCTGTAGCTTTGGAGCCTGTCCTGGAACTAGCTCTTGTAGACCAGGCTGGTCTCGAACTCACAGAGATCCGCCTGCCTCTGCCTCCCGAGTGCTGGGATTAAAGGCGTGCGCCACCACCGCCGAGTGCTGGGATTAAAGGCGTGCGCCACCACCGCCCGGCTATTATGTGTTTTTAAAGATGTATTGAGTGGGGCTGGAGAAATGGCTCAGTGGTTAAGAACACTGACTGCTCTTCCAGAGGACCAGGGTTCAATTCCACATGGCAACTCACAGCTGACTGTAACTCCAGTTCCAGGGGACCTGATGTTGTCACACAGACATACAAGCAAGCAAAACACCAATGTACATAAAATAAAAATTGTATGTGTGTGTGCAAAGTATTGCTATGTAGATCCGGCTGGCCTGGTATTTGCTGGTATTACAATCAAGGCTGACCTCAAACTTGCAGCAGTCACCTGGCTTCAGCCTCCCAATTATCAGGATTACAGGTATATCTTACCACACTTGCTAACAGTTTGACCTCTAAATACTTCTTGTGATTTTAACACACAGCTAAGTCTCAAAATATACTTTTTATTTTTATATATCACCAGGGATAAATAGTGGCTCTCACTGTGACATTTTATACATGTACATTTTGCCTCTATTCAATATTCACCCACTATCCTTTTATCTCTTCACCTTGATCTTCCTATTTCTGAACAGTGCCTTTACTTTCATGTTCCTCTCACCCCTAAATAGACTCTCTCACTCAAATGTTCTATATTCCCAGTATTATAGGAATCTAAGGGAAAGGGACAGTATCTATGTATGTAACTCATGAACAGAAACCAGAAAAAGCAGGCTGTATCTACTTACATCATCGATGTCTTCATCATCATCCCCAATGTCATCAAACTGAATTTCATCATCATCTCCAGGACCAAATGTATCAGTTTCATTGATTTTAGCTAACAAAAACACACAAGAAAAATACTGATAATATAATCAAAATGTTGACTTCCAACTTTCTACTAATTTGGCTATACAGAATTTCTTTTGTACACAAGGGCTATTTAGCAAGTCAAGTTCTAATTCTCTGAAGCAATTATACCCTCTAGGTATGCTTCAGAAATTTGTGCATATACTAACAACTTTATTTCCTATCTCAAAAAAAGAAAGAAAGAAAAAGTAAGTTATTCTAGGAGGGAGAAAAGTTGGAGGAGTCATTTGCTGGACTTGGGATTAGTGATTGTTTCAAGTGTCCAGAAAAAATGAACCATACAGAATCAATCAATCAATCAATCAATCAATCAATCAATCAATCAATCAATCAATCAAACACTAATAAGAAAAGAACTTATTTCCACTATAGGGTAAAAGGGACAACTGGAGCAGGAAACCAACCAGTCCCTCAGCACCCTGAACTCAGAGCCAGTAAAAGAAACATCTTTATCCCTAAACCCAGGACTAAACAAACATGCCCCGACTCTGAAACCAGTGTCAAAGAAACACACTTTGTCCCTAGAATCAGAGTCAGTGAAAGAAATACGCCCTGGTCCTAAGATGAGAGTCACAAGGCTAAAAAAGACCAGTGAAAGAAATAGTATGGCCTCGAGATCAGAACCATCTCTGCCCCTAACTAACTAACCAATCCCTGAAAAGGGAGAACTAATCAGTTCCTCTTCTCCCTGGAAAACTCCACCCCTAAGAAGCCCTATGTAAACCTTTCTACTTGTTCTTTCTACCTGCTGCAGAAACAGCCACTCTCTTGAACTCCTTCCCAAATAAATCTCTTTCTCAAAAGTCTTGGTTAAAGATCTTCACTTGCAGGCACAGAATAGAAGAACCTGGCTGGGACACTTCTTAGGGGATTGAGCTGAGAAACCTTGCTGGGATGCTCCCTAAGGTGGGGGATGGGGGCTGAGCAAGGCTGAGCAGAGAAAGAAAGAACTTTTCGAAGAGCGGGAGAAGAGTGGTGCATTTCTGCAGGGGCTGCCTTTTAGCGGTGTCAGCAAAAGAAGTAACGTCTTGGGACAAGCTGATAGCTCGGCTAGGACATTCCTTTAACAGAGGCTCAGCTGTAGCAGCTCTCCAGAAGAGCAGGATTGCTATGTCCTGCAGAGAGACTATCCCCCAACACAACCCAGCTTCAGGTAGCCTGCTTCCCAATAAAGTAAGGATACTTTCCCTCCAGGGCTGAGTTGTCCTATTGCGGCTGTAAGTATAGCCTGGCTTCCTGATAAGCCAGGATATCTTTGGAGCTCCAGAGATGTAACACATCCCCTACACCCACCAATCATTAATTAGGAAGAAACATTTGGGCAAATCATACTTTTCCCTAAGGAATGAAAAGAAATAAGACATGCTACTCCACCACCAAATATCTCTTTTCCCTCTGATAAGGTTACAGAAGGCTTGTATTTTGAGGGGGAAACAATCCATACTACTTAATCACTGACTTTGTATTTACACATATAAAGGACAGACTCTTGAAGAGATCTTTTTCAGTAGTGCTTGTCATTCGATCTAGGTCTTGTACATGCGAGGGTGGCCTCTACCGAACTGCACTGCCAACTTTTCTTGAAGAGATTTTAAAATACCATAAGAAATAATTCCTTTGGCTGACAATGTAATTTCTCATTAAACACTCTTATCAAGAACAGAATTTTAATAACCTTTCTATGGTATCTAGTATGAAGTATAAGCAGGTATATTTAACTCTACTCATGCAAACACAAAAACAAATAGGAGGAACAAAATTTCATTGCCTAAACACTAGCATGTGACAAGTTAATAAAGACTCAGCCATTCATTACCATGCTCTGGAAGCTCGCCATATGCCTTGAGACTTCTAGCTTCATCTGCGTTGTATTTTAAAATGACATCGGCTTTGTTATCCTTAAAAAAACAAGTAATTTTTGATTAACACACTATTATTTGTTATGTCATACATTACTTTCAAATTGAATTAAAAAGATCAAATCTTAATGTTTTGCTATAAAATCCTCCTCACCTTCCTTAGGTTAAACTCCAAAAGAAATTTTAGGAACACAACTGAGCAATGATTAAAAATTCAGAAAGATATAGCTCACATCTATAACAGCAGAATGACATTTTTATATTATTTATAATTATCCTTTAATCAGAAGCACAAATGCCCCCCTGAAACTACAATTTACAGAGTGATCAAACAGATTTACAGATGCAAGCCAAAGAGTGAGACTTGGTATCATAGCCTAAGGAATTTTAAAAATGTATATGTGTATATACACGCATGTATGTGTGGGTACCTGTGGAAGCTAGAAGGGGGCATCAGATCCCCTGGAACTGGAGTTACAGGTGGATGGGAGCCACCTGATGTGAGTGCTGGGAACCAAACTCTGGTCCATTGTAAGAGCAGCAAGCATTCTTAACTGCTGAGCCATCTTTCCAGCCCTGATATAAGGAAATAAATATGCCTTTTCATATATGTTAAGGCCAACTGTAATGATTATTAATCTTGTCAATTTGACAAGATCTAGAATCACAACAAAAATAAATCTTTAGGTCTTTCTGTGAGTGGAGTTTCTAGATTAAGTTTATTAAGGTAGGAAGGTTCACCCTAAATGTAGGCAGTGCCATTCCATGGGATGGGGTCCTGGACTGAATAAAAAACAGAAAGATAAGAATACTAGCATTCGTTCACCTTCCTCTGCTTCCTGACTACAGATGCAGTGAGACCAACTGTCCCAGCTCCAGCTGTCATTTCCCCACTATGATGGAATACACCCTTAAACCGTGAACCAAACGAATTCTTCCTTACACTGCTTTTTTAAGGTAACTTTTCATAGTAAGTAAACTAATACTTGGTATTAATCAGACTTTTTTTGGAAAATAAATGGATCAGAGGGCAACTCTGTGGAATCTTTCCTTTCCTTCCATCTTGGTGTGGGTTCCGGGGGCCTAAACTCAGGTCATCAGGCTTATCTAGTTGTCTCACTGGCACCCAATTTGTCTTCGTAAATTTTTTTTTAAAAAAAAAATCTTATTTCGTCTGTGCTGCACTAGCAAGACATTATGTCTCAAAATGTTTACATTTCCCTATTTGAGAAGAATTCCACTCTTTCTAAAGGTGAAGAATGGGTTGCTTCAATTTTAAGGGCACTGTCATCTAAACTAGCACTTTAAAAATTTTAAAAAGTGTACAGAAAGAGGGATGTGGATAGCAAGAACTTGAAATTTTTTTTCTTAAATTTCCTTTTCAGATTCATTTTTGAGTATGAATATTTTGCCTGTATTATGTATGTCCATCACATGTGTGCTTGGTGCTCACAGATCAGGAGCCATCAGATCCCTTGGAACTATTGATGGTGTTAGTGTTGAAAACGGAAACCAGATTCTCTGCAAGGGTAAGTGCTCCTAATGGCCAAGCCATCTCTTCAACCCTAGAAGACAGTAATGCCACAATCTCTCTGGACCACCCTCAAAGTGACAGAAGACAGAGAAAGGATCATGGGAGATTATAGTCAGTATTAAGCCTCTCTAAATTTTAGTGTCCCTTCAAACAAGGAATTAAAGCCTTTCTTCTTCTAGGGTTACTGTTAAAATCTAAAAAGAATGAATGGTTTATGAATTTGGAGCAGCTTTTCTCAACCAAAGCACTAATGATAATTCTGAGTCAGATCATCTTTGCTGTGGGATGTGGTGCATTAGAGGGTGTCCCACATCCCCAGTACTCTACCTACCTACCACTTACTAAGAACCTCACTCAAGTTATGGTAACCAGAAGAGTCTCCACACACCGCCTAGGACCCTCCGAAGGGTCAAATCACCCACAGAGAACCCTACGGTTTGAAACAAAGATGTCAATGCTTTAATCTGAAACACAAAAGTAAAAAACTCACAAAAACTAAGTATGATAAAAGCCACAATAGGAATTTAATAAAAGGGTGCACACTTGTAATACCAACAAGGGGGGGGGGTGTACAAGAGGGTCAGGAACTCAAGGTGACCCTCAGAAACCCAATCTCAGCACACAAAGAACAAGCGACAGACTAGCTGCCTCAGGTCCCTGCTGCTATGACCACCATAAATTGACTGTCCCCTCAAACTGAACCAAAATAAACCCTTCCCTCTTTTTGCTTTTGTCAGTGATTAGAAAAAAAAAATACCAGGCTATATTCCATTGTGGGATGTAACAGGATTCATTCAGCAGTAAGACCCTACAATAATGGTTTCTAGATTTTTAAAGATCTGTACAGGAAGAGAAAAAAAATAAAAAAAGGAACAAAATGACCACATAGTAGTATCATCTATTCTAATTATTTTTATTTTATGTGCATTAGTGTTTTGCCACGGGTGCCAGATCCCCTGGACCTAGAATTAGTCAGTGCTCTTAACCATCAAGCCATCTCTCCAGTCCCACATGACTTATTTTAAAAGAGGAAAGTTCAAATAGTAAAGATAAGGAAACCATTTTGCACTATACAAGCTAAATGCTTGACTCCTTACACTGGCATTTGGGAACCACACTGCCAGGGACACCAAGCATAATGGCTACAATACAATGAATGGGCTCTTAGGAAATGGTTCATCAAGTTCAACAAAATATAAACAAATTTAAAAGTGATTTTTACCTGGTAATCTCGGAGGCCCACCAATATAATGTCTGAGGTATTTATCCAAACCTACAAAAGAAAAGTCACTGCATAATCTATTTTCAATAATAAAGCAGAATCAAGAAATTTCAGAGATGATTCACTTAGAAACAGATGAGTTCCAAAAGCACTTGGCTATCTACTATGAAAACAGAAAAATGCTGTACTTTTCTGTCTTTTACCCACCCAAATGTATATAGTTTTCATGATCATTTATTATCCTTGTGAAGGATTGATATCAACAAAATAAAATACACTCTCAACCTGAACCCCACTCTCACTCAGAGCCGGGACTTCCCAGAACCCAAAGGGCCACCTGCCAGGATTCTTTAGTTCTCCTTAAAACTGGAACAGTTCCCTCGTCCTTTCCCTCTTTCATAACACCAGAATGTTCCCCAAATTAGATCTGTTGACCATTTCCTAATGATTCAGATTCAGACCACATGTTTTGGGCAGGAATGCAACACAAGTGAGGCAAATGATTCTTTAAACAATGTAATCTGTAAAATGATCACTATGGTCTTCTACTGGACTTACACTAATATCCTCAGGTCCATAAAATTTGTAGAGGTAGGAGGCTGGACATGTAGCTCAGTGGTTGAAGTGTGGTTGTGCGTAACATGTTAAGGGGCTCTGGGGTGGCTCCCCGCAACACACAAACACACACCCCTACCTGTAAAGGCATTTCCTCTACTCTCCTCTACATTTTCACATTAGAACAAAACAACTGTTCTGTCCACACACTTACCTTTTTTCTCAATTTCCCTCTGATATGGCATAGTCTCTTCACACCATCGAAACACATTGCTTCTAATCGTCCATTTCCCAACATTTTGATTACCTGAGCATATTCTACGTGGATGGAGTAGGGGAGAAAAAAAGGAATGAAATATTACTCGCTTTTTTTGATGAAAGCACCTTTTATGTCCATTGAAAATTGACAAGAACATGTGACTGCATTGGTTAGGGATAAATATACATTGGGCAAATATAAAATAAATACAAGGGAGTTAAACACTTGGCTAGTTAATGGTTGAACCAGAAACAAGACTTTGTAATATAACAACCTGGGTCTGTTATTAGATGTTTTAATTATCTACTTGTTTTCAGTAAGGAGACAGACTGACTCCTGCCCTTGTGACCACGCACTACGTCTAGAGATCAAAGGTGCCATGTCCCAGTATGTACATTATACCTCATACAGTTCACATTCAGATCTTTACCTGTTTCATAGCCTTATTTCTTTGAATCCTTAGAACAATCTCATGGAATCCTCAGTCCAAGTACTTTAAATGTTAGTGATATCCTTACTGAATCAGTATAACAATAATTATTCTTAGAAAGCCAGAATTATCTTTTACTTGGGTAAAATACCAAATTATTATTATTATTATTTTGGTTTTTCAAGACAGGGTTTCTCTATGTAGCCTTGACTGTCCTGGAACTCTCTGCAGACCAGACTGGCCTCCAACTCAACTCAGAGACCAGCCTGCCTCTGCCTTCTGAGGGCTGGGATTAAGGGTGTACACCACCATCACCCGGCTATTTTCTTTATCTTATGATTGGGCAGGGCTGGAGAGGTGGCTCAGAGGTTAAGAACACCGACTGTTCTTTCTTTCTTTCTTTTTTTTTAAAAATATTTATTTATTTATTATGTATACAATATTCTGTCTGTGTGTATGTCTGCAGACCAGAAGAGGGCACTAGACCTCATTACAGATGGTTGTGAGCCACCATGTGGTTGCCGGGAATTGAACTCAGGACCTTTGGAAGAGCAGGCAATGCTCTTAACCACTGAGCCATCTCTCGAGCCCCAAGACTGTTCTTTCGCAGGTCCTGAGTTCAGTTCCCAGCAACCACATGGTGGCTCACAACCATCTGTGATGAGATCTGGTGCCTTCTTCTGGCATGTGTATACATAATAAATAAATAAAAAACAAAGCTATGTATAACTTTAAATAATAATAAAGAAATACACACACAAAAAAGATTGTGCTGGGCGGTGGTGGTGCACGCCTTTAATCCCAGCACTCGGGAGGCAAAGGCAGGCAGATCTCTATGAGTTTGAGGCCAGTCTGGTCTACAAGAGCTAGTTCCAGGACAGGCTCCAAAGCTACAGAAAAACCCTGTCTAGAAAAACAACAAAAAAGATTGGGGTGGGGATATCACCATATAGCCTTGGTTAGCCTGAAACCTGCCTGTCTCTGCCTCCCAAGTGTTGTGATTAAAGGTATACATTACCCTGCCTAGCCTAAAATGCCAAATTCTTAACTAAAATCCTTTAAAAAGCCAACACCCAACTGTCTGTACAAATAAACTCAAAGGCAAGAAGCCAGAAGTCTAGTCTCTTAGTCAGAAAATGTTTGATCCCCAATACAGAAAAATAAACTAGAAAAATCTAACAAGAACCCAACTATCCAGCTCTTACCTTGCCCATCCTCTTTGAACACCAGCTCTCGCTTTTCAGATTCATTCTCATTCTTTCCTCTACGTCTGTTTTTACCTCCTTTTCCTAATGAGTTGTTAAAAGAAAAGGTTATCAATCATCTGCAAAACATCCTGCAAAGGACCAGTGATAAACATATACTGTTTAACAGACTTAGAAAACTATCTTTAGGGGCTGGAGAAATAGCTTAGTGGTTAACAACACTGACTGTTCTTCCAAAGGACCCAGGTTCAATTCCCAGTACCCACATGGCAGCTCACGACTATCTGTTATTTCAGTCCTAGGGGATCTGATACCTTCACACCAATGCATGTAAAATAAAGTTAAATTAAAAAAGTTTATGAAAAAAGAAAGAAAACCATCTTTAAAATTCAATTAAATTTAAAACTCCGCCTAATCTGGTCAATCATGTTAAACTTACCATATTCAGGTTTATGTTTCCGTGTTACCCTCACCACCCCTCATAGAGTTTTCCCTGGGGACTTTATATCTTAAGTAACATCCTCATCTTTTTTCCTTTTATTAAAAATGTTTTTCAGTTGGGTGGCAGTGCTGTACGTCTTTAATCCCAGCACTCGGGAGGCAGAGGCAGGCGGATCTCTGTGAGTTCGAGACCAGCCTGGTCTACTAGAGCTAGTTCCAGGATAGGCTCCAAAGCTACACAGAGAAACCCTGTCTTGAACCCCCCCCCCCCCCAGTTTTTCTTAATATATTCTGATTCCCTCCAATACCTCACTTCCCCCACTTCCCCTCCCATGCAGATCCACCCCCTTCTCTCATGAGAAAATGAATAGACATCTAAGGAATAATACAACACAATAAGATAAATGAAAGCAAATTGATACATGACAAAACCAAACATGAGTCCCATAATACTCACACCCAGAAGCCATAATATATAAGCAAAAGAACAGTTAAGGTAAAAAAAAGTTCCAACAGGACATGTGATCAAAGAACTTCCAAAGATGTTGCTGGGTTCCTTTTGTGCTGGCCACCTACTGCTGGGCGTGGGACCAGCCCCTATGAGTCGGTAGATGACCAATGACCATTCTTAACTATTTAAGAATGCCATCTGTTTACTTGTCACAATCACCTTGAATATTAACATTTATTCCCAGTTTATCAGTAAGTTTACTAAAGGTCAGATATTAAATAACTCACTCAAGATTTTAGTCAATGAGCTCAGGACCCCAGATCCAACCCTAACCCTCTCTGTCCTAGTAAAGTGCTCATATTTGGGCTCCTTTCCGGAGACTTCTGTCACCACACTCTTAACTACATGGGCCTCAGCTTTCTTTTTTTTTTGAGACAGGGTTTCACACTATAGCTCAGACTAGCTTTGAAACTTCGGCAGTCCTTCTGTCTCAGCCCCCTGAATGCTGGTATTATGAGTGTGAGCCACCATACTGAGCCCTGACAAATTTTACAAAAACACCTCGCCTTTCTCATACCTGACCCCTCCTATGAAAAGAAGAGCTGGTAAAAAGATGAGAGGAGGCAGAAACACGAAGCTATGGCTACTGGAATGGAGCATACTTATCTCATGATGGTAGAAGACTAGTAACAGTTAAAGATTCTGAACCTCATCCTTTAAAATGTACCATACCTGAGACAGTCTGGTTTAAAAGCAAGGTCAACCGCCTCGAGAGCCTCCTTTAAAATGTGCTTTAATGTTTAAGGGTGTTTGGCGTTCATGTATGTCTGTCCATCACGGACATGTCCAGTGCCAAAACAGGTACTGGGAAAGGGCATTGGATTCCCTACAAATGGAGTTACAGACAATTGTATGCTGCCATATAGGTGTTGGGAATTACTATTGAGCCATTCTCTAGGCAAGCATACAAATGGTGACACAATACAAAGGGATATTATACAGTAATAAAGAAATGTGGCAGTGGTGGCGTGCAGTTTTAATCCCAGCACTTGCTAGGCAGAGGCAAGCAGATTTCTGTAAGTTCGAGGCCAGCCTGGTCTACAGAATAAGTTCCAGGACAGCCAGAGTTACACAGTGAGACCCTGTCACAAACAAAAGAAAAAAAATAAAAACTGAAACAAGACCAAGCCTGAGTGTATAACAAAACAGCAATAAAGAGAAAAACCATCTTTTTAACTCCACTTTCTTTCCAAAAGACTATCTAGTTCTTAAGCTTAATAACAATTCTCAAATTCCTTCTTTAACAGAGGTGTTTCAGAGAAGCCCAGGGAGGATGGAGGATCTTTCTTAAAACATACTAAGATGTGATTTAGAATAGTTCAGTCTCCTTGGGACCAAAGGGGAACTTACTATTCACCTATGGGTGGAGTCACCAGAGGGAAATGACTAAGTCCAACAAATATTTATTGAGCATCTTTTAGGCTAAGTGCTATCGAGACAATGTCATTATGACTGACACCATTCCCGTCCTTTTAGGACTTACAACTAGTGTGGAAACCAAAAATCTAGTCACTAGAATTAAAGTGAGAATAAGACCTCACCTGCTGATGTGATCCAGTTGCCATCTCAGAATAAGGAAGTCTACAGACAGCAATTTGAAGACTTTGAACACATTATGCCTATAATTACACTTTTCTCAGGACAATCAGTAAAAATTCTTGCTACACAAAAAGACTGGCAACGTTGATTTTTGAAGCCCTGAAGCATGGCATGGACAGTGTGTTCAAGGTCAGCCTGGGCCACACAGCAAGACGATCTCAAATCAACTTGTCCACAAAACTGTGACCAAGTACTCAGAACATTGCTAGGTAATTAAGCAGACTCCCTGGAGTCAGCTATCAAGCAGAAAAGAGAACACTGGCAGGCGGGGGGCAAGCGAGGTGGCCCCAAGGATGAGTTATCAAAGACTTCGTTTTAATAAAATGCACGTGTGCACCTGTGTGTGTGTGTGGTGGGGTGCCCAGGTGGGCCAAAAGAGGTCACTGGATCCCCTAGAGCTGAAGTTATAAGCGCTCATGAGCTACCCTATGTGGGTGGGTATGGGATGCTAATTATGGTTCTCTTAACCAGGAAGATAACTCTTCTGCCCAAAGACTTCATTTTAATCTTATTATTTTTGGTTTTTCGAGACAGGGTTTCTTTGTATAAGTCCTGACTGTCCTGGAACTCAGAGATCCTACTGGCCTCAGAGTTGAAGTTATAGGAGTCAGGAGCTGCCTGCCCCGTGCGGGTGTGGGAACCCAATTTTGCTTCTCTTAATCAGGAAGATATCTCTTCTGCCCAAAGACGACTTCATTTTTATCTTATTTTTGGTCTTTAGAGACGGGGTTTCTTTGTGTAGTCCTGAGTCTGTCCTGGAACTCAGAGATCCTCCTGGCATGTCTCCTGAGTGCTGGGGACTAAAGGTGTGAGCCACCACCAACTGGCCCAAGGGTCGGGTAATGGGTCCCTCTCCTGTGGGAAACACAAGTTTTTCCTCTATTTTTACTCGCACAATTATACAATGAACATCACAAGCCTGTAATTCCAGCTATTTGGTAAACTGAAGCAGAAGATTCCCAAGTTCAATGCTAGTCCCAGCTACTGAGTGAGTTCCGGTTTAGCCTGAGGGCAGAGCAGCAGCAGACTCCTGCTAAGGATAGATTCGGTTCTACAAAAAAACCCACTACCACAAAATAGATAAAACTGAGGCTGGTCTTAGGGATGCTGTACTTCTACTTAGATGAGCCTCTTCATTTTGGAGATACCAAATTAAAAGTGCCCTCATGACTGATAACTTGAGAACATGTTCCCAGAAGAGAAGGAACTTCAAAGGCTTTTATTTTTCCATTAAAACAAATCCATGATCTGTAGCAAAAGTGGAAAACTTGGCTAAATAGGATGAAGCGCTCTGGGGTGGCGGGGGGGGGGGGGGTAGAGTTATGCCCCGTAAAGTTATGGAGTAAAGAGATAACTTTAAAAGTGCATCGGACGTACTGACCACTGGCTACTCGGGAGCAGCCTCAACAGTATCAAGTAAGTGTTCATAAAGAAGCCTATGCAGGAGGTGCCAGATGGGCACGAAAGCAAGAAGGGCATTACCCCTTTTCAAAGTTCAGAGTCGCTCCCAGGGCTTAACTCCCCACGTGCCGGAAAGCCAAGAAGCCCGAGGCAGGTGTTCCCACGGGTCCCCTTGGCGGCGCGGTCAGTGTGGCGCGAACCAGGGGCAGAAGCCCACATTCTCACACAGGAGGCCCTACAAAAATGGCGTCGGCTCCACCCCAATGTGGCCAAACTGGGAACCAGGAGTAACTTCCTTGCGCCTCTGCCGAGCTCCGAGTAGGACGCAGAGAATGCTGCCGGAGGAGAGGCAAGGGAAGATGGCAGGAAGGTCATTGCGGCCTGAGCTGACCTCGAGGCTGCGAGCTGGCCCGGGGAAGCCGGCAGGGAGCAAAGCCGCGGTCCCGGCGTCGTTACCTTTATTCTTGGGCATGGCGGCAAAGACGGGCTGGCGGCGTGCGGGACCGTGCTCCGGGTGGCGTCGGCAACGGCGGTGATTCCGGGGGGCGACACTGAGAAACGCGCGGGATGAAGACGATGCGGGAGGCCGAGAAGCGTGCTCGGAAGAGGTTGGTCACCGGTGCTTCCGAGAGCCGCCTGCGCCCACGTTCGGCAGTGGCAAATGGCGTCCTGGCTACAGGCGGTGCTTTTCCCCGCCCTCCCCCTCCCCCTCCCCCTCCCCCTCCCCCGCCCGTGGGCCCGGCCTCCCGCCCTCCCTCTGCTCTACGGCGCAGGCGTGGCCGAGAGGGCGCCTTCGGGTGGGAGCCCCGGGAGATGCCGGCCAGGGAGGGGTGCACTGCCACAGGAGGGCACGCGATGGGTGGAGCGAGGGAGGCCCTGGAGGCCGGAAGGGGCTGGCAGGGGCCCCCGCGTCACAGTGGGGGGAGTGGAGGGGGGAAATTGAGGTAGTGCGTGATGCTGCTGCCTTGGCCACCGTCTGCTGATTCCTAGCCAAGTTGAGTCCCAGCTTGACAGGCTGCTGACTCACTAACATAGTTAGCTGAGTTTTTATGGAGCCTTTTCACCGGCCCAGCCAGGCTGGAAAGTCTGAGGCGAAGGGGAGAAGGCCATCTGCCCTCCCTTTCTAAACTTTAATAGAATATTTGGATGGTACTTGGCGAAAAAAAAAAATCTGTCCTCCCTAACTTACTGTAGCCAGGTCTGTTGCTTATTGCCAGCACTTAAGAGTGTCTGCACATAGGAGGTTGCTCAGCACACACAGGACAAAAAGAAGAGGTGGAAGAAAGTCGATATTAGGGACCAATCTCCCAAAATTCACGCTAAAGCTCTAACTCCAAATAGCTATGTATATGGTTGCACTTGGGAGTAAGGTCTTTAAAGAAGCGATTATATTGAAATGGGATACTTAGACAAAAACTAAGCACCATATACTGGCCTTGGTCCTTCTTGAGCATAGCAAGCACAGGTGCTGCAATGGGGCCCTTGCCTGTGCTAAATATTTCTTACCAGATGTCCACATGATTCACCTCTTCCTCAGTGATTTGATGATCAGATGGAGGAATCTTGCTAAAGGAATCAAAAAAACCTGGCCCTTTCTCCTATGAGGATTTACATCAAGCACTTGACTTTATTATTATTATTATGGTTTTTTGAGACAGGGTTTCTCTTGGCTGTCCTGGAACTCTCTTTGTAGACCAGGCTGGCCTCCTGAGTGCTGGGATTAAAGGCATGTGCCACCACCGGCCGCCCAAGTACTCGACTTTGAAACAGCTATACAGTTAGAGTCTGGTTACTTGTGTACTAGGCCTAATTGCTAAGATGATGGAACTATCTAAGATCACAGAGTAAGTTTTGTTTAATCACATTTAACCTCACCTCTATAAATTCCAGAGCCCAATGTTAGAATCATTTGGACTTTCAGTCAGGAATGGTAGCAATGTTAGCACCAGAGAGATGGAGGAAGCCTGGGCTACACAGGTCTGTCTCAAAAAAAAAAAAAGGGTGCAAATTGCAAAAAACTACAAATGTCATTTTCCATTCTTTTAAGACCGGGTCTCATTGTATATGGAGAACAGAATGTCCTTAAACTCAGAGGCTCCTGCAGTCTCTGTGTGCTGGGATTAAAGGTGTGGACTGGCACATCCGGCTTCCCCTGTTTTGTTTAATAGAGGGTTTCTCTGTGTAACTGCCCTGGCTGTCATGGAACTGGTTTTGTAGACCAGGCTGGTCTCAAACTCATAGAGATCCATCTGCCTCTGCCTCTTCAGTGCTGGGATTATCCAATCAGGACCCTTGCCACTTTTAATTACACTCTGAGAAGTACATCTGTTGATGGGTCTCTCTCTCTCTCTCTCTCTCTCTCTCTCTCTCTCTCTCAAAGCCTACAGCACCCGGTATTCCCAGGCGGTCTCCCATCCAAGTACTAACCAGGCTCAACTCTGCTTAACTTCCGAGATCAGACGAGATAGGACACATTTAGGGTAATATGGCCGGAGATTGTTGATGAGTTTCTCAATCTCAATTCTATTCTTGTTTTTTAATTGGATAGTCCTTCACTGAGGGCAGGAGCTGTAGGATGTTTAACAATATTTCTGATCTCCAATATCAACATCTTTGAATTCTTCCTCCACTCATGACAACCAAAACTATCTCCAGACACTGCCAAATGTCCACAGTAGAGAAGTATTGTGAGATGATTATACCTTATTCCTCTGTCATTTAGTCTCCTTTCCTATAGAGAGGATGTTAAGAAGCTAATGTTTACAGAAGGGTTATTTAAAATAATCCTACTTTTAGCCAGGTGTTGGTGGCACACACCTTTAATCGCAGCACTCAGGAGGCAGAAACAGGTGGATCTCTGTGAGTTCCAGGACAGCCTGGTCTACAAAGCGAGTTCCAGGACAGCCAGAACTGTTACACTGAGAAGCCCTGTCTCAAATAACCAAAAAAGGGCCTCCTTTTAAATTTCTACATATTATTACTGGAATGGGGATATTGTGGTGCTCAGAGGACAATTTTGTGGAGTTGGTTCTCTTTGCTTCACTGACACGGGCTTCCAGGACTGACCTTAGTTTACCAGGCTTTCCTGGTAGGTGATTTTACCTGCTGAGCCACCGTGCAGGTCTAAATAAGCCCGTTTTGAAGTGAAGCTATTTGTTCTGGGTAGCCACACAACTACCCCTCTGCTGCGACTTCCACAACAACAAAACAGAGACTGGATAATGGCTTGCTTCAAGATCTGAAATGTACTGTCTCTTGGTTGTGTTGTTTTGTATTCAGGGTTTCACTATGTAACCCAGGCTGACCTGGAACTATGTAGCCCAGCTTCCCTCCAAACTTGCAGCAATCCTCCTGCCTCAGCCTCATACATGCTAGAATTATAAGTGTGAACTACCAGGCCTAGCTACTACTTTTAGTCAGTTTTGAAGGCTCTAACTCTAAGATCAAAGTAGAGGCAAGTCTGGTTTCTTCTGAGGTCTCTATGGCCTATAGGTGGCTAGGAAAATGTTCCTTTATGCCTAGGTGCTAACTGCCTTCATAGGTTTTGTTTTTGAGATAGGGTCTCACTATGTAGCCCTGGCTAGTCTTTAACTCACATACTTACCTTCCTCTGTCTCTTCAGTGCTGAGATTAAAAGTCTGTATCACCATGCCCGATTTATTGTCATTTTCTGAGTTATACTCTCTGATCTTAGATAGTTCCATCATGTTTGTAAACTTTAGTTTTCTCATCACAGAAATCAATGCAGAATGTTAGGAGTTTAGCAATTAGGCTTACTACACAAGTAATAACTTGTACAGCTGTACAGCTACATGTTTAAAAGTCAAGTAGTTGGGCGGTGGTGGCGCACGCCTTTAATCCTAGTACTTAGGAGGCAGAGGTGGGTCTCTGTGAGTCAAGGCCAGCCTGGTCTACAAAGAGAGTTCCAGGACAGCCAAGAGAAATCCTGTCTCAGAAAACCATAATAATAATAATAATGATAATGATAATAATAATAATAATAATAATAATAATAATAATAATAATAAAGTCAAGTACTTGATGTAAATCCTCATAGGAGAAAGGGTCAGGTTTTTTTGATTCCTTTAGCAAGGTTCCTCCATCTGATCATCAGATCACTGAGGAAGAGGTGAATCATGTGGACATCTGGTCAGAAATATTTAGCACAGGCAAGGGCTCCATTGCAGCATCTGTGCTTGCTATGCTTAAGAAGGACCAAGGCCAGTATATGGTGCTTAGTTTTTGTCAACTTGGCAGAAACTAGAGCTACCAAGGAAGGGAGAATTTTAACTGAGACATTATTGCCATTAGATTGGCCTGTGGACATGTGTTTGTGGGGGCGTTTTGATTAACAATTGATGTGGGACCAGACAGCTCACTGTGAGCTGTGCCACCTGGGCAGGTGATCTTGAGCTCATAAGAAAGCAGGCTGAGCAAGCCCTAGAGAACAAACCAGTAAGAAGCATTCATTCTTCCATGGTCTTGGCTGCAGCTCTTGCTCTGACTTTCCCACTATGGTGACTGTGATCAGGACTTTAAGCCAAATAAACTTTTCCCTCCTCAAGTTGCTTTTGGTCATGGAGTTTATTACAACAGATAGCAAACTAGAACAGATGGTATGACAAAGAATCAGAAATCCAGGGAAAAGGTTGGGAGAGAGTAGACCAAAATTAGAGATGTAAGGAGACCAGATCACTCAGTTGGTTTTAAACAGATCATTTTGGCTTGTGTGTTAAGAATGGCTGGCTGTATTGGACAAAGGTAGAAATAGAAATCAGGCATGCTATACTGCGATTGTCCAAGCAAGACAGCTGTGGTGGTTTCAAATAGGGCAGCTTCTTTGGGGATGATGACATATTCTAAAACTAGGCTATCATTATGGCCATGCAACTGTATACATGTGCTAAAAACACTGGATTGTAAATTTTAAATGGGTAAACTTTATGGTATATGAATTGTATCTCAACAAAAATATCTTAAAAAGAACTGAAAGCCGAATGTGGTGATACATGCCTGTAATTCCAGCACTTTAGATGCAACAGGCAGGACGATTGATGCAAGTTTGGGGACAGGATAGTTTACATTCTCATTTGCTGACCAACCAAAGCCACAGAGTAAAGTCCTGCTTCTACAATCCAAAACAAAACCAAACTAAAACACCTCTAACCCTTCCCAACAAGCATTTTTTATTTAAAAAATAAAAAGAAATGAGAGAATGGATTTCAGTAAGGAAAAATGAAGGACAAATACTATAAGGATTTAAGTATATTTAGAAAACAGAACTTGTCTGGCGGTGATGGCACACGCCTTTAATCCCAGCACTCGGGAGGCAGAGGCAGGTGGATCTTTGTGAGTTTGAGGCCAGCCTGGTCTACAAGAGCTGGTTCCAGCCAGGAGGAGCTGCTCTAAAAAATTTGGCAAAGTTTCTCTTTTCCCTCTTGGACTCTGGAACCCACGAGGTGCAGACCTGGGAGCGGAGGACACAGCCAGGTGTCGCGGGGACGCGAAAACTCCCCGGAGCCTCCGTCTCCACGCCCTGCGGCCTGGGAAAGTCAGCAGAGGCGGAAACCACAGCCCGGCGGCCCTGGAACCTCCCAGGCTTATGCTTTTGTCAGGTGTTACTCGTCATTTATTTTTGTTCCATGAAAAGTTCTTGGTGCTTTCTGAAGAATCAAAACAAAGAGCTCTGA